CAACAAATTTTGGGGCCAGCGGTCCGTTCACGTGGTGGGGTTCAGTCCCCTCGCGTCAACATATATATTGTAGTGTTCGCGCGTGAAGCTTCTCTATGTTACGTAGTTTGTTGTTGTATGTCTTTAAGCTGCGTCTCGCGTTCTTTCAAGATCCAAACCGTCAGGTGTGTTTTACGTTTTCGTTTCGCCGCGTTTATTTCGCTTAAGTAATTTATTTCCGGTAGTTAGATTTAGTGCAACTTAATTTTGTTATAGAAACCACTGGTCGAGAAATAAACGTACATGGTTCGGATAGCCATTGAGTAATGTTACTGGTGCGTACGTTACACCTAGATAATAAATCGAAATTGCTGTTTTGTAGAAGGATTTATTCATTGAAGGTCTCATCCAATATGGTTGTACATGTAGGTATGCGAGAGAGAGACTACCTCCCCTACCACCCCTCCCCTAGCCTTATTTTATCCTTTCGCCACTGAATTTTTCAACAGCTGTCAATTACGTTTATGGAGATGGCACAATAGTCTTGGCAGATTGGGTAACTCTGGATAGAGGGGTTCTCATGTGAACACTTTTGTTCCAAAGTTGAGGCTTACAAATATTTTTTATATTTTATTCAGAGTTTGTTACACGTTTGGAAAGAGAATAAAGTTTCAGATTCAGGATATCACCGCCACATTTTTGTCACCCGGTGTGATTAGTACTTTGAGACAAGCAGATCACGTGGCCTATTCTGTTATTCACAAACATGGTAAGGAAGCGCTGATGTCCAGTTTGATGTAAAGAGTGTATTGACTAAGTCATAGTGTGAACACAGCGGTTAAACGTCTGTGCATGCGAGAACACTGTAATGATGTGCCGTCAGAACCAAGTTTTCTCTCACAATTAACAAACAGTAGGTCACGGTGTCTTGAAAGCGTATAACTTATTCGGTAAAGCTCTAAACTCAATGGCAAATCAATAGGATAACAGAACCCAACTTAGCTTTGTGTTCGAAAACTATCGAGTTTCCCTTCTCCCTACTTTTGTTTCCTTAAAACAGATTTCTGGGAAAGTTTCAAGTTTTTGCGCGGGAAGTTAGCGCGCGGGCCGCCAAAATTGATCCCCAGCGCATGCCCGACGTTTGACCGCTGTGTTTATGAGGTGTCTTTTGTAATCAATAGCTTTACAAACAACCAAAAACAGATGGTTCCCAATCCTCTTCGCTGCGCCATGAAGAAAGGTTCTTTAAGCCTCAACTCTTGTATTCCTTGAGATAGAAAGAACAGCCTATCAGAATAGCTCTTGTATATTCCATAGTCTGCATTATATTGTATTTCTAACTTAGAATTGAACTGTTATAATCCATAAGGATGACGTAGTTTAATCTGATCGGTTGTATTTTATCTGAGAATACTTGCGCATGTATTGACGAATCCTGTAGACTCACGTCATCGACGGTTTGGGAAGGGAGGGTGGGGAGGGATGTCTCCCAGTCCCCTCTCAGGTAGCCGGAGTAGATTTCTTGATCGGTTTTACCAAAGAGTTCGCCCCACAATTGAATGGGACAGTCAAAAAATTAAACGCAGAAAATTTGTTAGTAACATTCGTTCTATATAATATCTAAGTCTCATGAAGGAAACGGTTTCCTTGTGAATTCTACCATAATGTTTATTTTTTTTTTCCATTTTGTTATTTGACTTTTTCCCTTAGATATGGTGGACAAAATCAGCCAAATGCCAATTGTTTTGATACCAGTCCATTTCGACCGTGATCCTATCGACCACATTCCATCCTGTCAGCGTTCTCTTGTGATCAGAACGTTTATCACGAGTGACTTTATGACAGGAGTGCCTGCTACACCTGGAAAGCAAATTCCTATCGAGGTAAAAATCTCGCTATATAGAGAGCCCCCAAAACAAGCTTAATTCTTAGCTATGATTTCGAGAGGGAGCAAACGCGAGGAGAACGCGAGTTTAGCGCGTGGGGAATTTTTTCGCGTCTCTCCTGTTGGGTGTAACTGGCCTCTCTCGCCTATCTCCACTCGCCTTTAGAACGCAAAATGTTGCGCCTGGTTTGCAGGCCACTTTAGAAGGCACATTTCTACTGAGTGTTGTAAAACTAGACTAAGATAATTACTCAAAGCCAACCAGAGCGAAGATGAATATTACGTAGCCTCCTTGTAGGCGGTAGTTTGTGCTTTTAAGCGCGAGATTCAGCGCCGCAACTATTAGATCGCATATTGGACGGGTGGTAGATTTGGGACGAGTGACAAAGCGTTGGGACGATGGTGTGAGTTTTCCAGTTAAATCACTGGAAAAACTGCTAAATAAGAGCAGTCTGGGCAACCGCGACATTCAGTTGATAGAGAAATAGGTCTGTCGTGGCCTTGCGTTTACTGTGGGATATGAGAAACGTACGTGAACCCTCGCTCGCGTGCGCCGACAAGGACTCTGGGAGTGAGGCGCTCGCGGTGCACCGATGTCAATTTTTCTTCGCCGAGAAGAGGAGATCGCTCGTAGTCTATCCTGTGTCAACAGCATGGGCGAGTAAAATTTTAGATTTTTCGTTAGTTTTCTTATTTCAGGGATCGATTAATATTTTACTTCTTTTTCTCAGGTTTTGAATGAAATGGTTACATCTTTACAAGAAGTACAAGGAATTTCACGAGTTCTTTATGATTTGACATCTAAGCCTCCAGGAACAACAGAGTGGGAATAGGAAAAAAAAAAAAGGTTAACTCTACTCGGGAGAGTGAGATTTGAAATCTTTTCATTTCATTTCGAAATTGAAACCCTTAAAATTGTCGCTAGTTAACAATTGGTAAACACCACAGCGTACACTATTGAGTTATGGATGCACGCGGGAGGTTGCTAAGCACGAAAGAAGCGTAATAGTCGCTCGAGGCGATAGCCGAGAGCGACTCTAGCTTCTTGAGTGCTTAGCAAACCTCCCAAGTGCATCCATAACTCAATAGTGTACGCTGTGGTGTTTACCATTTGTTTTATAACATAACATTGATACATTGTAGCTAAAGAGTTCTCTTTTATTTAACAAATCTTACGTGACCAGAAAAAAACAAGCGCGCGCGGAAAAATAGTCTTTGCATTTGCTCACGTCAGCAGCGTACACCCATGGGCAAATGAGGGACGCTAAATTGACCAATCAGAGCGCGCGCTTTACTTTGGTTATGTTATAAAGTGCAACTGACCAGGGGACGTGTATAATCAAAATGTTTTCTTTCTTTAAAAATAATTTCCACCTCTATTAATACACTTCACTTTGTCTAAAAATAGCAAAATCTTTTTTTTTTTTTTTTCCATATGCTCTTTTCTTCCTTAAAATTCACGAGTATCGCAGGTATCAAAAATTGCCTGTAGAAGGTAACTTCTACCTAATAAGTATTTCAACTTCTGTAAATTTTGTTTAGATTGGCGGTAAAAAAGTTGGCTATAAAAATTTGAGGTTTTGTTTCGTAAGCTATGTATTTCTCGCGTTCAGTGTGAAGCATAATTTATGATGGTAATAGGACGAGCGGAGTCCAATTCGGTCGGTAATCAGACAACCATTGCTACTATCATACAACTGATTAACAAAATTGGACGACCGCGAAGAGGGAGTCCGATTTGTCAATCACGAGTATGATTACAAAACGATACGAAGTCCTGTTACCAATAAATCATAAGCATTTCAATTTCCAACAAAAACAAATGTATTTAGGAAAAATATCTCCGGTAGAGACAATGTCTGAAGTAAAAAATTCCTCTATTTTGGAAGTTAACCAGCTTTTTTAAGAATAAGTGTTTTTTTTCTATGGTTATGTTGATCAATTTTGCGATTGGTGGATTTAGCTGAGCGGACTTAGTCTGAATAAAGTTGTCCGATTACAACCAACTATTCGATTAGTGAAAAGTCACGCAGTGTATGCACCAATCACATTTGAGGAAATTGTAATGGTTATGGGTAGTGCTGTTATATCTCCCTACGTGTTACTGATTGGAGAAAAACGTGTCACGCGCTATTGGTCAAAACTCAACAACTCCCTGGGGGAGACAACGCACGTGATCAATGAAAACATGAGGGTTTTTTTCTAATTTTTGAGTCGGGAGGTATAACAAAACACCTAATAAATACCTAACAAGAAAGAGTAAATATTACTAGGGTCTCGGGGAAACAAAGCTCACCGTTTCTATTCGGACCAGTCAATAATTGCTTATTATTCTCCGATGTGGTAAGAAATCGCGTTACGAATTGGGTTGTTATTTATAAGCGAAGCCACCTGAATAAAGAACAATTTATCTTGAACATTTCTTTGTAAAACGTCAGCTCTTTGATTCGATTTACTAGTGTTCGAAATCCTTGCGAACCATCTAAAACTCTTTTACCCCTTAAAAATGACTAGTATCTAATTTCTCCTTACAATATCACCCCTAAATCACACAATTAAGGTCAGGAGAATAAAGGAAATGATCACCAACTAGAGATAATCTTGATTGTTAAACGAATTCGCCTTGTCAGCACCTTAAGAATGTATAGGGAACAGTATGGAGAATATGAGTCCAGCTCTTCTCTGTTAACAGTTATTCACGTTGTTAGATGTCTTGTTGTCGCCAGTCTCTCGCTGACGGCGCCTGACGCACAACGTCTGTGACAATGTTGTAGATAGGGGAGGAAAAATCCGAGACATCCGTCGCTTGGTAACAGTTTCAGGAACTCCCGTGGGGTCACTATTGAACATAGTTGCTCGAGGGTCCCTGCGTTAGAAAAAAAAAATAAAAAAATAACATAGAGCCTTGTTGTTTTCACGTCACAAGACCAGACGAAACTATTTTCTTTTTGGCCACAAGGCACACACCATATTTAGATGAACATGTAACAAGAGGAAATGCGGGAAACATTGTGGCTGGTACTAATCATGCGATGGCATGTGATTGGTAGCGATAAAAAAGGGCGGGAAAATATTGCACCGGTAATGAATGTGGTGAAGCATGGAACTAGTAATGAGCGCGGGAGAGTATGTTGGTAATTGTGCGGGAAAACGTTTAAATTGGTAATAACGGGCGAGGAAACATTCACCTAGTAACAAACGTGGGAACATTCAGCTGGAAAACAGGCAAACATTTCAAAATAAGTTACCGACAGCGAAGTACGGCAAAAGGGTACGGGTGGCTGCACAGAAAATTTACTCAGGTGATCTTCAGACCGACTGGACTTAACTGTGTTCTTAAGAAACACACAAAGAATGAGATGGCTACGTTACAGTACATTTAGAAACTTTACAGACACATATTTTGACAAAAATATATATCATTTAAATAGTCCATTTTACAGTTGTGTGCTTGGTTGCCAAGCCTTTTAACGGGAGAGAGGCTTAGGGTGACCTTGTTATGATACAAACCTTACCGCCTTTCAAATGTAAATCACTTTGTTATCATGCTAACTAGATACAGGTCTCTATCACGACAAGGTCACATTCAGCCTCACTCCAAATGAAAGGCTTGGAAACTAAGTCCAACTGTAAAATGGCCTATTCGCACCTTTCAGGACTGCCACGATGGCCTCCTTCCTTGACTCTGAATAGTCGCTGTCTGTTTCTTCTTTACACATGTCTAGTAAGGTTTGCACCAGTTGAGACCACTAGATAAAGGAAAACAACGCTATTACTAACGTTTTGAAAAACATTTAAAAAAAGAATTGATAAATCTTACTGATTACTGATAGAGCTTTAAAAAGAAAGGAGATTATTTCAACTTTAAAAGGGATGCAATGAGCAAATTTTGCGTTGAGACTTCTTCATCTTCAGCCGGGCAAACTTACCTTCTCCACGTTCTGACCAAAGTAATGCAAAGCATAAGGTAAGGCTATCATGGGAAACTCGTCCAAAACAATGGCCATAGCCTACAACAATTGGAAAGAGAAAAAGAAACCAGAGTTATTAGAATTTTGCTGGAAAAATGGCACCACCACAAATGATGCATCAGCTCCTCAAAAATGTTTTTCTTACCTCAGCGTGTCGTTCCACATGTGGCAGACAAAGAAGCAGTAGGGAAGTTCTATCCTTTCTTATCGCTTGACCTTCTATTTCACCCAAGACAAAATCAGCCAACTCACTGCTGACATACTTGGAGCACAACAGCGCCTGAAACATAAATACATATGACAAATGAGAAAATGGAGGAAATTTCAAAATAGAGACGCTTTTGACTCGTATTGAAGCCCTTGGTCATAAAGAAATATGCTTTACGATTGGATAAAGAAAAAACTTATGACGCCACCAACCCAACCAATCAGATACAGGAGTAAGACCAGTCACGACTCGGCCACGTGAATTTTCCCGCGCTTGGCACCAGGCTAATTGGTGCACCGTTTGACTGTCTAGTTTAACTGGAAGTAATGGTTTTGGTTGTACAAAACTCAATAAAGCTCGCACCTGGATTTTTATTAAATCTTCGTTACAGCAGCAACAAGAACACTCATAAGGGCTCGCGGTCGAGTCTACACCACGCGGAACAGAAAGGTAAGAACCCTTGCTAGCTGATCGTCGGGAAGAATTGGAAAACCGAGAGGAAGATCGGGACAACTGCGGGGAGGCCTGAGGCGAGACTGGCTTGGAGCAAGGGCAGCCTGGGAGTCCGGGAAGACACAAGGCGCCTGAAACACAACAGAACAAAACAGACCTAGTAAGCCTCAGTCGTGGCTAAGAATTGATATAATTGATTTATCGTCGGTCTAGTCTGCAATGTCTTGTTAGGGCGACTCAACGTTGAAAGCTCGCAATCGTTTATTCGACCGGCCAAGTTTGATTCAGTGTAAAATTGGACGGTGGGCAGAGAGGGCACCAAAGGTATAAGGACCTCAGCAAGATCCTTAGCATACGATGTTGGCGTCTTTTTAGGGCGAAAGAGTTAACGTTACAAGCTTACGACCGTTTATTCGACCGACCATGTTTAGTTTAGAATAAGGGAGGGGAGATGGGAAAGTTACAGGACACTGTAGTTTGTGTTGACCCATCCCCCTCCCCACTCCTTCCTGGTGCAACTTTCTTTCTCTCCCCAGCCCCCAGCTTAAAATTCAAAGAAGGCAGCTATAATTTTCACCAAGAAAACACTGAGCACTTGCTAGCCAAAATTACGCCTCTTCTACAGAATATCTTCAATCTTGCGTTGGTTCTCTTCAAAGCAGGATGTATTAATTTCCAAGATTTTTAAAATCAGTGACATGCACCTAAACAGTAGAGGGTGCTGTAACTGAAACCAGCAATGAAAGATTGAAATAACTAAAACACAAAAGCATTTGACTTCCTGACCTTGAAAAGGAGACAGCTTGTCGAGCCATGGGTGTCGAGTTCCAAAATGTCCTTCTCCTTTCGGCTAAAAATAAACCGAAAAAAGTGTTCATGAAAGCTAAAACCTAGGGACCAATCGCCTAAGTGGGGACAGGGGAAGTTCCCTTTACTACGACAGAGAACTTGTACATTAGCACGCTACGATCAATATTGGCACTTTCATCTCTCCAATCTTTTTTCCTTCCAACAGACACTGAACACTCCAGAATACCGTTATTTAACCTCTTCTGGCAGTCACATTCAGCTGTACCTTAAGTGATTGTGAAGAAATGCTCCCTTTTATCGACTGTAGCGTCTATACTCACCCAAGATCAATAATCAACAGCGCGATAATATTGCAACCGACAACTTACCAGCACACCTCCGACACCTTATCGACTGTCGGCCGCCTGTTGGCCAACAAGTGTGAACTGTTGGCCTTTAGTCGGCAGACAGTTGACCGACTGTTGGTCGACTATTGGCCAAACGTTGGCCGACATTAAGCTGACAGTCGACCGACTGTTGGTCGACTATTGGCCAAACGTTGGCCGACATTAAGCTGACAGTCGACCGACCGTTGGTCGACTATTGGCCAAACGTTGGCCGACATTAAGCTGACAGTCGACCGACTGTTGGTCGACTATTGGCCAAACGTTGGCCGACATTAAGCTGACAGTCGACCGACTGTTGGTCGACTATTGGCCAAACGTTGGCCGACATTTAGCTGACAATCGACCGACAGGTCATTTCAAGGATTTTTTCTTCAAAATTGCCGTACCTGAGTAACCTTCGAACATGCTAAATTCGCACACATCAAACTTACAATATGTTGATGAGAAATGGAAGCTTGACGCTTCCTTTGTTTATTTTCAATTCTCTCCAGGTAAATCCGAGATAATGGGATCTGGAATATGAAAATATAATTATTATAAGTGCACGAGGATGGCTATTCATTAGAAGATGTTTAATAAAACTCGTGTTACCCCTAGCCGTCTAACTAGCGTTAGCCTAGTCTAAACTAAATAATTTGAATATATCAACAAAGTTGAAATGATAAATTGGCCACCGTTACGATTATAAAAGCTGACGTTTCGAGTGTTAGCCCTTCGTCGGAGCGAACTATCAGCCTTTAATCATCTAGTCTAAACTCGACGAGAAATATGGCTGTACACTTAACTTTGACTGTACACTTAACTTTGTAAGCGAGGAAGAGACAGAGCTAGACCACACTATACGATCTTTTAATTACTCTTAAATCGACAAAAAATGGGTTAACCAAATGACAGGCGACCAACTTGTAGTAGACTAAATCGAACTTAACTACACTAAACTGGTGCCTAATAGACCACAGCCTAGTTGTACAGAGGGTGGGTAACGCTATCCAACGTATAAATCGCTATCTAGCTCAGAAGTGATAGCAATGTAGGAATGTAGGAAAATTAAAGAGAGCGAGTTGCATTTCACGTTTTCATGGCCCAGCCTACAGGCGCGCAGAAGCCATCAAAACTGTTTGTTAGTCTATAAATGCCTTAACAATCTAGCCCCAGAATACTTGCTACACGAATTCAAATTCTCTAGACACTTCCATAATTATAATACCAGGAAAAAAGATCTGATTCGTTTTCCCCTAGCAAAAACTGCAAAACACCAGTCTTCTTTCCGATTCAAATTATACGAGACTGAAAACTACTAGTAAGAGTGAAATGGGTTACAAACGACTACGGAGAGTATTCCTACTCACCGCTGTTGCACTAAATGAGTCCAACCTGTTTTTGTCTGAAATGACAATAAGGAAAAGCTGTTGTGTAATTGTATCAGATGCTACTGAAAGAAATAATTTGAATATATCAACAAAGTTGAAATTGGTAAATTGGTCACCGTTACGATTATTAAAGACGTTTCGAGCGTTAATTAGCCCTTCGTCGGAGCGAATGGTGATAGAATGGAGCGAATGGTGATAGAATGGTGATAGAAATCTCGTAAAGAAATCTTGCATTTGACAAGGCAATGTTTTCATACAACTGTGGCAATTAGGAAGTATGAACCTAACTCTGTATTTCAACAGGGCAGTTTAAAAATAAATAATGTGGCCAATGCACTTACACACCATTTAGTAAAGTCTCCATGAACTCGATGGCCAGTTCATTCTGGTTTGCATCCGGCCTGCTGGTCTGAAAAAATGACACATACGAAAAGGAGCAATCGATAATACAACTAACACGCTACAAAAACAGAGGACATGAAAATAACTTTGAGGTGAATGACAATTGAACTCAGTTCATAGCCACAAACTTAGCAGGCTCTTGTAGTCGATGTAATTTGGTAATATCAACTAAGTTGAAATAATTGTAAATTGGCCACCATAAAGAGTTAAAAAGCTGGCGTTTCGAGCGTTAGCCCTTCGTCAGAGCAAATTTCAACTTAGTTGACATTACCAAATTACCTTGTTATCCCCACCGATGCAGCACCATAGTTTCTTTAGAAACTTACCCCTTTTACTCATTTGTCTTTTAGTGGATGGTCATCTCACAAGTGTGGGCTCTCATGTTGTCCTAAATTTTTCAATTTCTAAAGCAGCTTTGTAGCCGCTGTTTTTCAGCAGTCCTGAGTGGCTTCGCAGCTGTGGTTTTTTTCCCCAAATTTTCCCCATGATCATTTTTTCCATTCACTGATCAATTATTACTGCAAATGGATGCCTGAAATGCAGCTCACTCCTGGGTTGGATGCCTGAAATGGGGTTCACTCCTGGTTTACGATGAGAGCAATACCCAATCTAGGGACAAGTTCAACACATGTACAGAGGAGGCTAGTCAATACCCTGGGCATCTGCCTTCCATTTAAGTGAGGCAGCAGGTTAACTTACCCCAAATAAACTGAGAAGGGTTTCCACAGACAAGGCTTTGTTATCATGAAGGTTGAGCAGAACCTCTACAAACAGCTTAGGTTGATGTTTGCGTAAAAGCTAAAACAAGGCACATAGAAGACACTGTTTATCAACATCTCTCGTTTCATCTTGTAAAATTAAAGTGCAACTGACCCCTAAATTTTTTTTCACTTAAAAAAATCTTCCTGCTTTGGTGAGTATTTCTTCGATAAAATTGTTGGATTTGGTTAAACCCTCATTTTTTTAATGCGCTGTTAAAGTCGACATCCGAAAGGACCACGACCGCGTAAACGGAGATCTGGGCAGAGTAGACTTGTGACGTCACTTCGAGAAGACGCTCAAGGAATTCTCAGCCAGTCGTCGACCTGCGAAAGCTTTTCTAGCACTAGATTCATCCTGCGGCATACATCTGCGACCAATATCGATCTAACCTTCCAAACATAACCAGTGAACTGTGCAAAATGGAGCGAAATACAGATTGCCGGGTTCTCGAAGTGACGTCACATTAGTCGCCAGACTCTTGATCCTTGAAACGCGGTCGTGAGTCAAAATGGCGGTGATTTTAATGCGATTTTCCGTACCTCAACGGGGCACAAAAATTCAAGGATTTGACCAAATTCAAAAATTTTTTCGAAGAGATACTCACCAAAGCATGAAGATTCTTTTAAACGAAAAAAAAAATTTAGGGGTTAGGTGCACTTTAACAGTAGTCACTTCATGACCTGAAAGCCAAAAATAAAGTTGACTGATTCCATACTTGTACCAAGTATTATTAATAGTTCACTGATATCATCGCATAATAAGTCACATATAATTTAACTAATTAATTGACATCATAATAATTCTCTGGTTTCAGCACTCTGATTTGATATCATGACAATTTACATGTTAGTGTACTTGGACACTGTATGAACATTTTATTTGCTGATACTGCTATCATAGCTACTATTGTTTTCATCTAAGACTACATACATTCAACCAACAGGTATTTTGTTTCTCCAATTTTGTCAAGATCAGTAATCTAATTCTGTCTGAAGTCGCCTGTGTGATTAACAACTCACACTCCTGCTTTGGGGATGTTTGATTTTGTAAATGATTCACATGATTATGGATTGAATTGGAATTCACTTCATCCTATGTCCATTACCGATCAAAACATTCTTACCTGTGCTAGCGGAGTAAAGTGAGTTCCATCGTCATGTAACAAGTAAAAGTGAGTGGTCAGAACTTCAACAAGCATTTTCTGTTTTAAATAAAAAAAAATGTAGAAGAAACTGTTTCTAAATTTCAATCTCAGCTTGAAACCCTGGTCTTGAACCATTCTTATGAAAGCTACAGAATAACAGGTTTACAAGACACCATTTGGTATATTGTACAAGCTGACTCTACTCTCGCATCTTTGAATGAAACCCTAACAGTGTGTGATCATTAAGCTGAACCCTGCTGAGCACTTCTTTCATAAAGTCCTTTCAGTTCTATAGCTTAGTACTGTGTTGATATCCATGTAGCGGTAACTCTTTTCTGCGACCATTGGCATGAGAGTTACTGAATACTACTATCACCTGCTTTCCTAAGCTACATACAAAATTATTTCTTGTCCATATCTGACATTGGTGCCCTGGTCTATAACAAAGCAAATTACTGCTTAACAACTCGATTCCATTTTACTGTGTGACTGTTCCATAACAGATCCCAGAAGACGTCAAAATGTGGTAAGAACAAAAAGAGTGGCACAGGCAGCCCAGCCAAGTGTGTCACTGATGCTGTTACCACATTTTGCTGTCTTCTGTGATTTATTACTATAAACAGAACATGGAATCTATTTTGATGAAAAAAAAAAAAACAAAACAAAAAAATGAACAGACCCATGGCAACCTACAATCTATTTGCTATAAATAATTATTATACGATAAAAAAACCTAAAAAATTGTTTATAGTGACATCATCAACACAAATACATGCATTATTCAACTTATATAGTACTGAGAGAGAGTTTGTAACTCTGTGAAGTCTGCAAAGTTTCCTACAATTCATCTCTTGTACACATGTACCTTCGGAATAGAGAAGAGGGCAGCCTGGGCATGATCAGGTTCACACTGATGAAGATAAAGCACAGCTCGCACCACGTTATCCAATGGTGATAAGCTAAATTAACAACAAGCCACCATTAATTCAATTATGCAAATCATTCCTCTTCCTTATTCAAAAAATGTTACACCAGCTCACTCTTCACTCATTCTGTCAATCTGACAAGGATTGTGTTTTTTTTTCTTTTTTTTTCTTTTTTCTTTTTAATCCTCACTTAATTGGTTGGGTCTTTGGTAAATTCTGCTTTTTATTTAGAGAAAAATGAAAAACCCTTTTCAAATACAGGTTTCTACCTTACATCTATCTGATCATACAGAAATGAAAAGAAAACAAAAGAAGTCCACCAGGAGGTTAGATATACCACAGGAACACCAACCTGTAAGCACAGCCCTTCTCGGTTTGTGTTTTCTTCACATCTTCCAGAGCAGCTAATGCTGTCTCTAAACAGGGAAAACTTATACTTAGTCTATTAATTTTTGAACAATGCTGAATCTTGCATCAACGACTCCTAAAAGTTACAGAGATCTGTACACAATTATAATTATTCTCCTAAAGGTAAAGACGAGCCACATAACAAACCTAACAGGGTAGGGCATCAGATATAAGATGAAGAATGTAAGTTTAATGATTGACGGAACAGAATTAGAGGGGAACCTAAATTCTGGTCGTTTTAGAGGTAAAGGGGGGGAGAGGAGATGACTGATACTCGGTGTAACACAATTTTAAGATTAAAACAACAGACACAAAAGGTTTTTATTTCTTCTTGTGAATCCCATCAGTCTTCCAACCTCTAAAAGATGGATTAAGTAGGAATGACAAAGAAGAACGATGAACAAAACACCGCAATCTGTATACAAATCTTGTGTTCACTCTCTCCTTTTTGTGAAAGAGTATTAACACTTTTTGTATATTTTCAACACAGTAAGAGTCTTAAGATGCAAATGTGAACCATTATTCTTCAGTTACTCTAATTAATCCAATTAATTTAGTCTGACAAACCTGATGAAAACCCACTCAGAGATGACATCAGGATAATCTCTGCTACTCGACCTGGTTTACCTTTGGCATAGAGCTTGAAAATTTTTTTGGCAATATTCTGAGAGAAAAATAAAAAAAATTCCTTGATAACCCTTGACAACCTACACCCTAACAACAGTACGTAACTTCTCCATACTGTTTTCTATACATTTCCCATTGTAGTTATATGGAGACTTTGCATTACAATCCAAAGCTTATTTAGAGCCTGTTCACATGAAGGTGGGGGACCACGGATGGATGATGTTACCCGCCTACCTAGGGGTAACCTGCCTGTCCATATAATCTCTTATTTCACCTTGGTTGCTTTTACATAATAGGTGTGGCAACCTACCTTGGTGGTTTGCCCAGTCTGTTGGGTAGGGTGGCCCTGTCAGCCAGGGTTGCAATTTGCTATGTAACCATCTCAAGGTGGGGTAACCCAGTCTAAACTTGGGTGTGCTAGCAACCTCACCCTCGGATATCAGGGTTGAAAGATTGTATGTAAAATCAGGCTGTTTTTCAAGCATGGCTAGGGGGGGAGGTTATCTCACCTACCTAGGGTGCCCCTGGTTCACGGGCCCTTAGTTCATGATTGTTTCTTCCATTCTCATGACCATGATGTGTGACTTAGGGGTAGTATTGCAAAGAGAAATTAGAAGCAATTGAAGAAATGCTGCCAAAATCCCTGACAACAGGCAGGAAACACAAGAAAAAAAACCATGACCCAATGAAACCACAAACCCTGACCTTCATATTTGTGCAGAAATACACTAACCATTAGACACCTACATTTCACACATCAGATTCAAGATAAGGACAAACATACTAAGCTAAGGACAACAGACATAATGAGCTATCCATTCAGCTAACTGCCTCCTGGTTAGCTCAATGGATAGAGCGCTGGACTGTTGTGCGGGAGGTCGAGGGTTCGAGCCCCGGCCGGACCAACACTTAGGTGTTAAAATAATTGAGAAGATATATGCTATCTTTCTATAACATCAAGAAATGGTTAGATATTCTAGTCTTCTCAGATAGGGACGAATAAATGGAGGTCCCGTCTCCTGCAGGGTTAGGGGCAGGAGACATTAATTTCCCATGCACGAGTTTACTGTGTGATGCATTTCCTCCCCTGGGGCAGAATGGGTGGGTATTTCTTGCTAAGAATCATTGCATAGATGGACAGCAAGTATTAGGAAAATAAAAAATATATGTTTTTTACTCATCAACCTCACCTCTGACACATTCACTTGTTTATCTGACCCAAATAAATTTTCATCCAAGAAATGGATCAGGCCTTCTGTTACAGGCTGTCCAGATTTGTGAGTCCTGTCGACAATGTCTCGCAAAGTTAAGCCAGACATTGCAAAGTAGTCTATACTATCCTTAGAGGCATCAGTGATTCTGTAAAAATCAATATTGAATATTTGTTACAATTCATGGTGCAGATATCTACGATTGAATAGCAATTTTCAGAGTGTAATTCAGGACTTCACTGGTTTTGTTTTCCTCCAGTCAGTGACTGGTGGAATCTCATGGCCATTTGATTGGGGGTAGTGACAAGCTTAATACATACCAGAAATAAGATACAATGTAGTTGAGGATGAAAAAAAAGTTCTTAATAAGCTCTCACATAGGTAAAGTCTGTTTACGAGCCTAGTGGCCCAGCAGGCCAGTGGTTAACTCTGGCTTCTGTAGCATGAAGCAACTAGGAGTATTTCTACTCCCCCCTGGATGGGATGCCAGTCCATCGCAGGGTTACCCCCAGCATTAATTTGCCGGGACCCATTTATACACCTGGGTGAAGAGAGGCACTGCGAGAGTAAAGTGTCTTGCCTAAGAACACAACACAATGTCCTGGCCGGGCCTCAAACCTGGACCACTCGATCTGGAGTCGAGCACACCAACAATGAGGCCACCGCGCCTCCACAAGCTCTCACAAAACTAACCTTGAAAACACCTCCGTCAAATTTGCAGCAGACTCACAGAGTATCTTCTTAAGCTTCTTTTTCTTCTTGTCATCTTTGGAACCTGAATCTGCCAGGCAGAGCGTTCTTAGGAAAAAGTGTTGCTCACAAATAAGGTGATAATATGCCTGTGCATTGTGCTTCTGGCAGCGACTTGCTAATGGCATCTGAAAAGTGAAAGAATCTTAAGCTCTAATACTCCAAGATAACTGGAGTTGTAAATGGAAAAAAAGTTATACATAACAACTGACTGTATTAATATTACTATGTTATGCTAATACAGGGAGGTAAAAAAAAGGTCTGTTTACGAGCTAAGTGGCCAGACAGGCTAGCCCTTAACTCTAGTTTCTGTCTCATAAAGCAGCTAGGAGTATTTCTGCTCCCCTCTGGATTGGATGCTGGTCCACCACATGGTTATCCCCCAGCAATAAATTTGCCGGTACCCATTTAAACACTTAGGCAAAGAGAGGCAGTGTGAGAGTAAAGTGTCTTGCTTAAGAACACAATACAAAGTCCCTGGCCAAGGCTCGAAACCAGACCACTTGATTCAGAGTCAAGCACACGAACCATGAGGCCACCATGCCTCCTAATACAGGGGGAAGCTGTGGCCTAACAATTAGTGTGCTAAAACTCCAAGTCAAGAAGTTCACGTTTGAGACCTGACCAGGCCATTATCTTGTGTTCTTGTGCCAGACACACACAACTCCTTGAACCCTAAGAGTGACCATAATCTCATTTCTCCTAACACCCCCCCCCCCTTGAATCACACATCAAGGTCATGAGAATAAAGCAAATGATCACAACTAAAGAAGCTCTTGATTGTTAAACAAATTCTCCTCATCAATAGGAGGCGGCATGGCCGAGTGGTTAGGATGCTGGACTTGTAATCCGGTGTCTCGGGTTCAAGTCCTCTACCCTGCCATTCACTGGATTTGTTCTCGGTTGCCCCTGGTTCAACTCCTTGGCTGCGCTCTGTAAATAGATCATTGGTTTCCCTCCTGCTGGTGGGGATTTTTAAGCACTTAGTTAGTCTACATTGTGGCTGAAAATCCCCTAAAGGGTGGGGGGAACCTCATTTAACGTATATTATTATTATGACACAGTTTATTGAACTTCAGCATGCCAGGAAAAGAAAGTTTCATAGGGCGCACAGCGTAACCTATCAAACTACACATCGTTGCACTTATAAAAAATATAAAAACCTATTTGCTAGCATGGAAAATTATTTAAGATACAACTAATACTAATATACCACTGCTAATTTACAATCTATTATTATTATTATTATTATTATTATTATTATTATTATTATTATTATTATTATTATCAATACCTTAGGAAACATACAGAGAACAGTGTGGAGAAAATGAATATAAAGTACAACATACCACTGCCTTGTAAAGCTGAATGGGGTCCATATTCTGGAG